AGGGACTTAATTTGCTGATGAAGAATGTTTGGCAAGTGTTTCGCCAAGTTTACTTGCAATTTTAGATTTGTCAGTAACTAAATTATCGCCATCTTTAAGATGGTGAAAAGCAGATTTTGAACCTTTGCCTTTGATCCTTTGAACCATGTTCCATACTCTGGACATTGGCGTACGCGAATTAATTTTGGAGACATAGTTCCTCCAAGATTGCCGTTTGTTTTGTTTGAAGGTACGACGTGCCTTCGCATTGAGTATTTTAAATTTATTTAAGTTATGGACATTTGGGTGATGGCGGAAATAGTTCTCTGCCTTTTTCCTCGCTTTTCTGGCTTGCCTACAATCTGTATTAAACCATGGTTTCCGTACATGTGGAATTGTAGAGGACTTTGGTATACACTCATCCGCTATTTCATTTAACACGTCAGAAAAAACTTAATAGGATCAGTTATATCACTGAAATATTCGGTTTTTAGTTTAGATGTGCACAAAGTTTGAAATAAGGACCAGTCTGCCTTGGAAAAATTCCATCTTGTATAAGATGAATCAGATGGATACACTTCTGATAGGATAGTTGGAAAGTGGTCACTTCCACAGAGATCATTGTGGGCTGACCAATCAAATTCATTGAGGAGGTTAGAGTCTGCAAGAGACAAATCTAAAGAAGAGTAGGTGCCGGTTGCAGAATGCAGATAAGTGCTTGAATCGTCATGATATATACACAAGTCATTATTTGAGATAAAATCTTCCAGTATTTTACCTTTAGTGTTAGTGCTTGTACCACCCCAGATCGGGTTATGGCTATTGAGATCACCCATTATAACACAAGGTTTAGGAAGTTGGTCATAGAGAGCTTGAAGTTCAGACTGCTGGAGTGTTGAAGAAGGCGGAATATATAAAGAGCACAGTGTAAAGGTAACGTGGAGCGTTAGTTTCACAACAACAGCTTGAAGACTAGTTGTGAGTGTTACCGGACCATGGATAACGTCCTGCTTTACAAGGATTGAAGACCCCCCCAGTGGCTCTGTCACCCGGAGGTGAAAAAGAATTATATGCAACAAACTGACGTAAATTAAAAGTATCTGTCTGCTTCAGATATGTTTCCTGCAGACAGAAAGCTGATGGTGCAAAATCTTGGACTAATAGCTGTAACTTGGTCCTTAATCCTCTACAGTTCCACTGTACTATATTTTTGGAATGGACTATATTTTAGGTGGGATGATTGGGCTTCTACCCTGCACTTTTGTAGTGGGCGACAAGCTGTGTGCCCTTGAGTGAGAGTGTTCGGACACTTCCATGTCCTAAAGTGAACCATATTTATTATAGAGTTGAACTTGGTTGTCTGATCCCTTTGCGACTCTGCCACTTTGAAGTTTTTTAGTTGAATCTGGCCTTGGTTTCGTTTTGCTTTTAACGGCCTGTTGGACATTTGCAGTTGATTGAGATGGTGATTTATCCTGTGGTATAGATGTTTCACGATTACCCTGAGACTAAGATTGGATTTGGGATGAAATTATAACTGTTGTTTGAGTTGATTGTTCTGGTGTCCGTGAAAACTTCTCGGGAGTAGTAGTTTTCACCCATGTCAAATCTGTTTGACAGGTTATTGACGTTGTTAGGACTTTGGACTGTTTTGGGGCTGTATCAGATAGCGTTCTGGTGATTGACGCGTATGTTTCGGTCTGTCCTTGGGTTTGTACGAGTTTTTTAGCTTCTGCAAAACTGATGTTTTTAGTGAATTTAATTTTATTTATCTCCATCTGCTGTTTCCACATCGGGCATTCCTTAGAGGAAGATGAGTGTGTTCCAAAGCAGTTGGCGCACGTTTTAAAGTTGCTGTCACAATCTTTCGTCACATGCGTCTTCTCACTGCAGTGAGCGCATGTAACGGACAATGTGCAGGTGTTCATACCGTGGCCGAACTTCTGACATTTGAAACATCTGAGAGGGTTGGGAATGTATGTGCCAACCCTGATATTGCAATAACCTGCCTTTATTGATTGAGGAGCATTTGGAGACGAAAACGAAAAGGGGTAGGTGTTTGTTTGATGGATTTCTGAGTTTTTACGGGTGGTAAACCGTTTTACAATGGTGACACCTTGATCTTTCATTTCTGAGACTATATCCAGTTCTGTCATGTCAGCGAACAATCGATCCCGATCTCGTACAATACCTTTGCTGGTGTTAAGAGTACGGTGCGCAGAAACTGAAACGGGTATACCAACAAGTGATTCAAGGGAAAGGAGGTTGGATGCTTGCTGTCGTTTGCTACATTCGATTAACAAAGCACCTGAACGCAAGCGTTTAATGTTTTTCGCGTCTCCTGCAATGCCATGAATGCCTTTAGAGACTGCAAACGGATTTAATTTTCAGAGGCATTATATCAATAGTCTCAATCACTATGAACCGTGGCAAGTAATCAATAGGCTGTGAAGGTCGCTGTTCATCATCGTTGTCAAGTGGACGTTTAGTTTTTTAGAGTGAGTTTCGTAAGCTATATTGAATGTATATTGTTTCATCATCCGAGCTCCCCACCCACCACAGAGTATCATAAAGACAGTGCTAATAACAAGTGGATCTCCAACTTGCAGCACCAGGGATACCCGGATGATATACTCCAACAGAAAGATTAAACAAGTAATCAGTCTACCAGATTGGCCCATGAGCCACCGCCTTCTGGCACCAGCATCTTGGCAAATTTTATCAAATTTGAAAATTCATATTTTTTATATAATATATACACAAAACCAAACATGTCAATATTGTGTCCAAAAACATCAAAGCTAAATAATTATAGAGCAACGAAATTTAGTGCTCAGGGCTCGGCATGACCAGCCGATTGGTTGAACCGGGCCCATTCAACCACCCGTCTAGGTGAAGTAAGGGGCGAAGTGGTGTGTTGGGCAAAGGAACACTGTTCCTAGATCCAGTGCCCTCAACCACCAGCCTCCCGTCCTCCACCGACACAGGGGCGCAACCCACGGCAAACGGGTTGGTGGACCAAATGTACCCCCGGGTCGACAACGGGGGGTCGAAGAGCTCTTGGTGTTACCCAGCACCCACCACGAGGAGGTCGCTCTTCACGGGTGCCGTATTGGTTAGGACAAAGTCAGAGTACAAACCAACAAACCTCACTAATGAGTGTTGAGGTAGTGAGGTATGAGCGCCATCTGACGAGCCTCCAAACAGTTTGGCCATGAGCTATAAAATACCCATGATGTCAGAGTCTCCAGGTATAACACGACCCAGATACGATGGACTTTGGATTCCTCATGTCAAGGTTTGTTTATCACAAGGCTATTCGTAAACACGGTGTTGACAGTATCTCAAGGCTGAAGTAGGTGTACAGTTAGGGAGGGGTGACATGTATTAGAGTTGAAGGTAGCAGTCACGATGTGTGCACTTATATCACGCGCGTGAAATATACGTGTGCATGCACGTGTAAGTTTGTTCTTACGGGAGTGTCTTTGTGTGTCCATGTGTGTAGTTGTCTCTGTCCATGTATGTATGTATGTATGTATGTATGTATGTATGTATGTATGTATGTATGTATGTATGTATGTATGTATGTATGTATGTATGTATGTATGTATGTATGTATGTATGTATGTATGTATGTATGTATGTATGTGTGTGTGCATGTGTGTAATGCACGTGTCTGTGTTCTATGTATGTATGTGCATGTATGTATGTGTATGTATGTATGTATGTATGTATGTATGTATGTATGTATGTATGTATGTATGTATGTATGTATGTATGTATGTATGTATGTATGTATGTATGTATGTATGTATGTATGTATGTATGTGTGTATGTATGTATGTATGTATGTATGTATGTATGTATGTATGTATGTATGTATGTATGTATGTATGTATGTATGTTATTATACGTGTACGTGTACGTGTGTGTGTGCATGTGTGCATCTGCGTGCATCTGTATGTGTGTGCCTGTCTGTGTGATTGTGTCTATGTGTGTACATGTGTTATTCACATGCATGTACACCCGAGCCTACCGGTCCTATTTTATCCCTTTAAATACTGAGAGTACATTAAGCATCGTGGTATTGCCTATTCACTCACTAAAACATTGCATAGAAGATGGAAGAATGTATCTATATTAGACAACATGCTCTCCTGGTGATATTTACACGTGTGTTATCCACATGCATGTATACCCGAGCCTGCCGGTCCTATTTTATCCCTTTAAATACTGAGAGTCCGTGGTATTTTATCCCTTTAAATACTGAGGTGATATTACATTAAGCATCGTCGTATTGCCTATTCACTCACTAAAACATTGCATAGAAGATGGAAGAATGTATCTATATCAGACAACATGCACTCCTGGTGATATTTATATGAGTTATTATACTAGGAATGCAAGAGTGTTTCATGTTCTGACTGACTTCATAGTATAGTTACACATACAGCCTTTGGAATAACTATTCACTTCCTGGCTTGATTATTGCTGCTCTTTTCAATACAAGGAACCCTGACAGATGACGCATTTGATGAAGAACTTGTCACTAAACTGAGAGAGATAAACCCTGACCCCGTTTGGAGTCGTAATGGTTAGTTTAAGGCACTACTCTGAACCTCGTATGGACGTGAGGGAGGTGGTGTGTGTGTGTGTGTGTGTGTGTCTGTGTGTCTCTCTCTCTCTCTCTCTCTGTGTGTCTCTCTCTCTCTGTGTCTCTCTCTCTCTCTCTCTCTCTCTCTCTCTCTCTCTCTCTCTCTCTCTCTCTCTCTCTCTCTCTCTCTCTCTCTCTCTCTCTCTCTCTCTCTCTCTCTCTCTCTCTCTCTACATTGTTTAGGGGTGACCTTGCATGGTTGTTTTCACCAACGTGACTACATGAGTACATTACGTGTGCAATACAACCTGACACGGTTAAAGCACTCATGATAGACCTGTGTTCCACATATTATGTACATAGTGATACGTGAGTGTTCTGACATATCACGTGGTAACCAAACGACCTTCAACCCTGATTACATTCTGGCTACACAGTAGATATAAACCTGTACCTCACGTCAACCTGTCACTCTCAGGATACGTCGAACCATACGGAGGGTTTCATGTATAAATTACTTTAACGGACAAGGAAATCTCGCAGATTTTTGTACAGTTCACAAGATGGCCAAGTTCAACTGCATGTCATGGTTGCTGACATCTATCTCCCTAATATCTTTCTGTAATGGCCAGGACAGTATTGTGTACGTTCTGAACAAACTGGAACAGTTCGAGAAGGATCTACTTGATAATAAGATGGATATGCTTGCTATGGAGAAACGGATACTTAACACCATAGGTGTTACCAAGACGTCCTTGACAGCTGAGTTAAAGGAAAACATACGGGATGAAGTGAGAGAAGCCATGGCCGAGATTCTACAAGGAGAGTCTCTTCAAGACATGGTGAAAAGTCAGGTTGTCTCTGAATTGCGGCATCTGAAGCAGGGCTATCATCAAATGAAGAGGCAGTTGCACCATGTCTCAAGATCGCTCGGTGATTTCCAGAACGAGACGACCGTATTTCACGACTCTCTCCTGAAGAAGGCAGTTATGTCGAATCGAGAGAATTCGTATGATATCTGTATGAGAGATAAGCATAAACTGGAAAAAGCACTACAGAGAAGTGACGCTTCCACTGCCAATCTCAAATCTCAAATTACGACATTGAAGGAGACGTGTCAGTCACATATGTCAAAGCTGACATCAAATGTCACGGTGTCTCCTTCTACCCCCGCTCCTCTAGATGTTACACCAGCCTCCAGGACATCTGTGTCAACAACGACACTCAGACCACAGGAGGAGAAAAGTAGGATTTTGATAGCTCCAATGTGGTCAGATACGCCACATCAGTTCCGTCAACTCAACATTCACAGTAACTCCCTGAGTGTCTATCAGTACCACACCATGAAGCAGGTCAAATGTATTGCATATACAACAAAGACAAGGAAACTTCTCATAGGGTTAGGCAGCCCTGATAAGATAGTGTCATCTACCCTGGATACACGTCACGTGACGGTATTAAGAGAACATGTACGGACATATGGCATGACAGTGGATGAAGATCGGGACATCGTATTTATAGCCACCTTCAGACCACAATACTCAATCAGCCGCATGTCTACACAGGGGAAAGACTTCACTGCCATCATTGACTTATCCAAGTACGGTAGTGTTCCAAGGCAAATATCTCTTGACACAAAGAGAAGGAGGATATATGGTTGTAATGAAGGGAAACTGTTCACTGTGACATATGATGGTCAAGGTCTGACAACATTAGCCACAGGAAGCGGTATGTATGCTGTAACCCTGGATCAGACAGCAGGTGTGTTGTATTATGGTGTACAGAAGAAACTGATGAAGATGACTGTGTCCAACAATGTGAGTACAGAGGTCACTACACTGAACGCCGTCCCCTGGAACCTGGGGCTGTATAGCGGCACCATCTACTACAGTAGCCATGATTCTCCTATTGTAGGAGCAGTTGATGTGACATATAACACTGTGGCATATACTCTCCAGTCAGTCAGTATGAAGGGGAACAAGTGTTTACGGTATGTGTTTGATTCCCTAAGTGTATCAATCGCATCGTGTTTTCTCTCTATATTCCGATCTCATCCACCCTGGGAAACTGATTTTAAGATTACATATGTCCCATAGAATGTAGCTTATGTTGCAATGTTAGTTTGCTGTAGGTTTCATCAATAAATATCTTATGACAGTTTTATTGCTGGTAAATTTTATTGGTTGCACCACTCAACACTTCCTTCCAGTGATTGAAGCTCTTTTATGACCACGTTTTCGGGAACAAGAACAGTTCCAAGAGGGCATCATTCTTCCCAGTGTGTGTCACAGTACGTCGGTATCTGCACGTCGGTACTTGATTTTGCTAAGACGAAATTAAAATACCAATCTGTTTTCGGTCTCGTTTCAATATATCCTTGGTCAGTTGTTAAGCAAACCATGGGTTTCCGAGGAAACGCATTAACCTTGACTTCAGGGCAGGCTTTCGGAGGTTAATTCATTAACCGTTATGAAAGGAAAGGGTTGTAACGAGGTCAATGAGGTTCGTTTCATGCTGGATTCAATAATGCTCACTATATATAACCCTATAAAACTATACACGCATTGCAAGCCCATATATCTACCTTCAAAATGAGACATCTATAGATCACAAAACAGCCAGGATGTTCGGAAGCTCGAAAACTCATGATTTGTCGATTCGAAGAGGAAATCCCTGCTCAGAATTTGTAATTTCATGCGTAGTTATGGGGCAACCAAGTATGTATAATGGATATCAAATAATTAAACTCACAATGTCACGCCTTTTCGACAATATTTTGGCCTATGTTTTAGATATTGTGGGGCATATGCCCTCACTTTAGTTTCCTATTGATGTAATAAAGACTGATTATCCCTTACGACTTGCCTGCAATCGATAATTGAACCTCCGGGGCGAACCACTTCCAAACAGAAACACTTGCCATACAGGGAATGTAAATGATTGCTCCGTACATCGAAAACTGTCGCACGCGGTGTTGTCAGTATTTACCGAACTGGTTTCAATCACAGAGGATGGATGTTATCGAACCACGGTGCTTTGGGAATTCGTACATCTTCAATGGGTATCCACTGATGCTTTGGGATCGGACGGGTAACCTAGTGGTTAAAGCGTTCGCTCGTCACGCCGAAGACCCGGGTTCGATTCCCCACATGGTACAATGTGTGACGCCCATTTCTGGTGTTCCCCGCCGTGATATTGCTGGAAAATTACTAAAAGCGGCGTAAAACCATACGCACTCACTAACTCACTGATGCTTTGCTGTAAAACATAAATAACATAAATAAATGATAATTCAAATTAGGGTTTTTTTATTAATCGATACTGCTTATGTTGCTCGAGACCATTATTATTCTTCATGGGGGCTATTTGCATAAACTTGTACACACATCTGTTTATTGATTTTATCAAGGTTAGGTTACACGTGTCATCTTCAGATTGTGCCTCAACTGGCATAGCTGGGGATAAGAAATAAATAAATGAATAAGTAGCTAACATATCTATGCGTGCAACAGTTTCAATTGGTGGCGAGTCCGTTTTGGTCTGTTGACGTCATTCAAACGATTTACAAGTGGAATGGAATGTTGGACAGAGTGACATTGACAAAAAGTAATATAGTCAGAATATATACATTACATAGAAAAAAGGTGCTGTGGGTAGCGAAGTGGATAAAGTGTTCGCTCTCCACGCCGGGTTCCATACCTCAAATGGGTACAATGTGTGAGGTCCATTCCTGGTGTACCCCTGCCGTGATATTTCTGGAATAGTTTCATGAATCGATATGCATCACGATACCCATGTCACGATACCTATTTTCGCGGCATTATTGCGTAAATTTAGTTTATATTTTGAACATTAATGTTTCATAATAACTTTCCATGGAAAGATCAACATTTTTTATTTTCAGATATTAAAAAGTTCTAATTTCCCATCTTTGTGCATGAAAAATAATCATTTATAACTCTCATAACATCAAAAAACATGATACATTTGCAAAATGTAAACAATACATAAACATATTTAAACCGATACTTTCAAAACTAAATATCGATACAGTTTTGAATGCATTTATAATTGTAACGTCTTAGAAAAAGTATCGATGCTTATCTGTAAAGGATTTTACCTGTTATTGTTTGAGATTCTCATCTGAATTTTCAATCTGTCGTGAAATAACAAATAGTTTTCTTATCTCCCGTTGGTTTCTTTTACGACAAGCCTGGGTTGCTGAAGACCAGTTCTTGCCCGGATCTTCAGGGCTCAGTCTGCTTTTCAGGTGTATAGCGATTACAATGAAAGTAAGGTAATAGGTGACTATTATATTAATATATATTATTATCATATATAGATTTGTGTCACAAAGCACAGATTTAAACATATATACTAATCCTGATCGATAAGATTGTGGAAGTTAAAAATGTGGCAATTCTTAAGTGCTGGTACTTCTGATTTCATGATACGCCATCAAAACACATATCTGCTATTACATCCCGCATGTGATTGGACATGGTTCATACAAGTAACAATCCCACGAAGCATCAGATACCTGGGCCGAAACGGCCGCTCCATTAATAAGCTCACACGTGACTTCCGATTCATACCGGATGTTGAATCCTGCGCATGCGATATCGCGTTCACACTCGGAAGCACATGCCGCTCTGCCATGGCTGCCGATGTTCATGGTTCTGCTGGGTGGCTTGTTAAAACGTTTGCCGTCATACTGGACAAATGATGCACCTAGGAAAAAACGCACAAAGGATAAGAAAGTTAATTTTGGTTTACAGGGGGTTGTTATACTTGCCGACTTCTGTCGCAAAAATTGCTTTTGTCTGAATATTCTGACGAAATTCACATCGCATTTTATGGCGGATTAAATTTTTCAAAACAATTCCTAAAGGGCAAAAACAATGGTTTAAGCTTCTTATCTTTATCTTTCGTTCTGAATCCGTGGAAGGAAAAATATTGTGACAAATACACGCGAAACAATGTGCAGAAAGCAGCGAACCAAAGTCAGTGTAGAGATATCCTTCTAAATTCAAAATAACATATCTTGTGACTCATTGAGATACATTTCTCTAATTACACGCTACTGTGAAAAAACAACAACCAAATATGATGATTTTTACAGTTCAGAACAGACACTATACATTCTTCATCTTTAGTCATTTCTGGTAAAAATATTTGAGTTCTGAGTGAACAGTTCGGGTGTATGGGTTCTGTCGGGTTTGTTTGTTTGTTTGTTTGGGGTTTGTTTGTTTGTTTGTTTGTTTGTTTGTTTGTGTTTGTTTGTTTGTGTGTGTGGGTTTGGCCCTGCTATGGAAAAGGTTACCTATTTTGCAGTCCGTTGTTGATTACCTTTTGGGTTCAATTTTTGGAAAGCTTTTAGCTTAGTGAGTTTGAAAAAATCATTCCTCATTCATCAAACATCTATGAAGGTAATAAAGTCGAAGACTCCGAGTTTATCACGAACATATATATGTTTATGAATCACTATCAAATAGTGAGTGAGTTTAGTTTTACGCCGCACTCCAAATTGATGGCGTCTAATTTTATTGACTGAATATCAAACAGAGATGATACCAGTGTTTGCGTAAAGGTGAGGGTATCCTGCCCCACCAGTGACGCTACACAACATGTAGGTGAATGACAAATGTTTCTACAAGACACACTTACATGTCGTTAGTCTCGATATTTGCACGCCAAACACCTCGACCTCGCACAGCTGAAATGGGCCGTTATGGTGTTCCGATATCTCGCCAGAGACACGTAGGAATCGTCCAGTGACGGCGTTGTCGCAGGGAAGGGGGAGGGTCACACCAGGAGTAGTGACGCTTCCTGGATAGTAATGGCACCTTTGGGAAACTGCCGTGGGATGTATGGAGGGGTCTATCTCGTACACATCAATGGAGAAATCGCGAAGTCTCCCAGCTGAAAGTATAACAAGTAACCAAATTTCTATGTGGTTTGGTTTGGTGTTTGTTTACGCTGCACTCAGCAATGTTCCATGTACATGTATATATTTAAACACACCCACATTCACACGAATACAGATATATGGCGGCAACATCTAGGTAATCGAACCTAGACCAGACAATCCAGTGACTGATATAATGAGCACCATCCATGTAATGTCTATAGATGGCACCAGAACGCGTTTTCAGTATTACCACTATAAGCTGAACGATAGTGTTGGAACTATCCAGTTTCTACAGTCAATACACATCGTCTCTAATAGTGTATCTGCGAACAGAGCAAGTCAGTTTGTTTCCTCCACATTAAGCAGCATTCCAGCATTGTCAAGTCAGATTACCCAAACATTATTGCACCCTGGTTGTCTCCATGGTGTAGAAGATTGTGCAGACTAACATTTAGTCCTTGAAATTAGCAATTTAAAAAATATATATATACTCTCCCAAAAAAGAAACGCATATAGGAATTTCAACTGTATTTTTATGTATATTTTGAAACATCTTGTAGGCTTTATGAGTCAAATGAAATATAGCGAAATTGCAAACTGGGAATGCAGACTTATCCGTCTTTGGCACCAACTTGAGGAAAGTCAGTTGGAGTGCCACATGGAGACGTGTGGTGGTGCTGAAGTCAATACCTCGTGTGACCACCGTGGGCATCCAGAACTGCAATGCATCGCCTCGGCATCGAACGAATAAGTCTCAGAATCTCATGTTACCCAATCGCAGCCCACTCTGCCTGTAGTGCCTGTGCGAGTTGCTGAAGTGTCTGGGGCTGAGGGTTACGGCGTTGCACCCGTCTGTCCAGGGCATCCCACAGATGTTCGATCGGGTTTAAGTCCGGTGATCTTGAGGGCCAGGGGAGCACATTGATGTTGTGGTTCTGGAGGAAGTCTCTAGTGTGACGTGCTGTGTGGGGCCTGGAATTGTCCTGTTGAAACAACTCCCTCTGGCGATCAATGATTGGAAGGAGGTGTGGGCGTAGGATTTCGTCACAGTACCGTTGAGCTGTCAGGTTGCCCTGGATCATCACCAAATCACTTCTCCTACGGCAGGTGATCGCTCCCCACATCATAACACTGTCCCGGCCGAATATGTCCACCTGGGGAACGCAAGCGTCGGCCAAACGTTCACGTCGACGTCTGTACACCCGCATTCTTCCATCGCGTCGTTCCAATAGAAATCGTGATTCATCACTGA